GTTGCATTCCTTCAAAGTAATGGGACACTATCAAAACCGCCCTGTCTTTTAAAGCAGATTAAGTCACACTTAAATTCAGTGAAATTAACTAGAGATTAAATCCAGAGACAGGTCTGACTGCCTGTTGCCAGGCAGCTGCCAAAATAAAGGAAACACAAAGATCAAGTGTCTAAATGGGGCATTTGGTGTCGCTGCAGCCACCAGAACAGCTTCAGTGTGACTTGGCAGAGATTGTGCGAGTGGCTCAACTCCACTGGAAGGATGGCACAACATTCTTCTTCAAGTACTTCTCTGCTTTTGTATTTTTGTTGTAGGTGCTGAAAAAAAACAACAACCTTTTAACAGGTGCCACTACCGAAGCTTGGACAAGAGGAGAGTACAAGCACTTACTGAATATGATGCTTACTTAAGCATTGTTCTCATGTTGATTACCTCTCAAGAACTGACGAACAACAACTTGTGGAACATTTTAAACAAAGGCACTTACAGCCAGCGTGCTGGAAATAGCTTGGTTTAACATGGACTCGGGGGGCAGCAGGAACAGGCACTTAAGGTAACCATGTAGAAATAATCAGTCCTAAGGCCTTTGCACAATGAGTCAGATGTGTTTTTCAGATCCGTTATCCAATGAAAAACGTGACACATAGAAACCTTGCACACTGAGTCCGATGTGTATATTTTTTTTAGATTAATTCCGTAAATTTGCAGCATTAGACAAAATGTCTTCACACACACACACACACACACACACACACACACACACACACACACACACACACACACACACACACACACACACACACACACACACACACACACACACACACACACACACACTTTGTTCAAAAAATAATGACGGATGAAAGCTTTGGAGTCAGAATATAAATATGATTGACACAACATTAGATCATATTTCTTTTAAAATATGCGTCAATTTCGGGCGATAAACAGACTCAGTGTGAAAACGTCTTCACTCCTTGTGCTCTGTTTTGAATTTTTAGTTCACATGAAGTAATCAACATTATTTTCAGACTGTTTCATATCCAGTCTTCCAGAGTTGCCTGTTCACATATGCACCTTACAGAAGGAGACTACGACTATCAAGAACTGGGTGAAAAATTCTGCAGATTGTGTTCACATATGAAACATACGCCCCAAATATTTCAGGACATTTTCAGTGTCTGTATGTCAGAATATTTCTTATGTAAGCTCAAGTTGCCTCAAATACGTAAAACTGCAGACACAAATCTGCTGATCGTCTTTGGAGTCCGATTACATGTCATCACTAAGCGGAAATCTCTGTTGTTGAAAAATGAAGCCAAGGCTGAAGTGCAATAAACTGCAGCTCCTTGAGTGTCCACTTGAGGCTAGATGCAAAAGTCCTGGTAGTCCCATACACACCCATGTTAAAATGCCCAATTTTGACAGCAGAAACCCTTTTCACACATACAGAAATCTCCTGAAAAACTCCGGTTTTAGCTACCCGGAGGTTCTTTAGGCCGCGTGAACGCAAACAGCCGCATTTTTCGCGCAGTCTTTACCCGGAGTTTCTCCGGCCAGACCCCTAGTATTTTTTTTTCCGCAGAAAATCCGAGTTAGCTGATGTCTGAACGCGGCCGAATATACTCCGGAGATTTCAATTTGAGCCAATAGGAAGAGAATGACGTTTATATAGTGACCGGCTATAGTGTCTGCACGCGATCACTACGACCTCCGTGCACGTAGTTAAACGTCTGCATGATGTTTTCTGTTCGTCAGTGTGTTGTTCTCCACTCTTTTGTGGATGTTGTCATTCCATTGGATTACACATAGCATTAATATAAAGGCAAATATTCTCATTATAACGTCTTCCGCGTTGTTTATTTACGTCACGTCTTACCTCAGGAAATCCCAAGATCCCCGTCCCCTCTGACAGGGAAAGTCCCCCGCTCTTAGGAGCATACGTGAACGGCTAGGTCGGGAGAATTTCCGGAGCGTTCCTCCTGTGATTATCTAGATATTATCCGGAGTGCACATGTGAAAACGGCTTGAGATTGCTCAGTGTTTTGGGGTTTAAAGTTGAACAATAACTTTTAAGACTAACCTGCTGACCCTGGAGTAGTATGGTTCATATCTGTCCACATGATGATGTGCTGTAAAAACAACAAAGTGCTATGAGTAGAACATTTCAATTGGTCACATTTTTCACCCAAAAAATAAAAAAATAAAAAAATACTTCATTAACAATGTATGTATCATGTACCAAAAAAGTTAAAAGGTGAGCGCGCTTTGACCAAATACGTCAAATGATTGGTATGTGCATTTGCGCTCTAATATGCAAAAAGAATAACAAAGCAAAATGAAGCGAGAGTAACGGATAAAGCAGTGCAACCATAACTGAACCTGATGATTATGAACCAGTTTTGCTGATATTATCATTCCTCCACAGACATACACTCAGACTTGTGGGAACAGCAGCCTGAGAAAGGGCAAGATGCCAGCTGGCTATGACACCAGATTTCAGGCTGAGGATGTTTTTATTAGGCCTGATTTCTGGTTGTTTCTCTCTTAATGGAGGCGGGCTTAAAGCATGCAGCACTGCCAGGACAACAGCACTCTTTCAGGCGGGGGGTTAGACAATTAAGACAAAGGAAAATGTGGCCCCTAAATTGAGGTCTTTCTTGTGTTATGTTCTAACTCCCCCTGGTGGCGGTAAAATAAATTACACGTCCTCAGTGCGTGTTATCGTTTCTGTTAGCAAACATCAGCTGGTACGGTCAATATCGATAAACCACGTGGTGTTTCGGCGGCTGTACATGTTTAAGTCGTTTCTGTTTAGACTTGCTCGACACTTCCTGATCAACATAAAGCCAGACCACAGTTTGTAGGTGTCCAGGTGACGTTGTTCTGGTTAGCTCATGACTCACTTTAGTCTGTCTCAAACCTCAGCTTGACAAAATGCGCACCGAAACACAGTAGACATGATTTTAACAGTGTGTCTACAATCTAAAAAAAACATACTCTACTGAGGTAATGTCACGGTGTCGATGTGAATGGACTCACCGTGTGCTACTTTCTTCCAGTTAGCTATCTTTAGGCAGATTAAAGTCTAGTAAAACGTTACTTCTGGTTGACTACCGGGTTGTACTGATCTGATAATGTCCCTGCGTAGAACCTCCCAGGCGGCCTGTGCCCTTACACTGTACGCAGTTCCGACTTTATTGGAAGACATTTACAGGCAGTGACCATTATAGTCATGTCACAGTTATATACCGAAGACATTAACACAATACTATGTCGGAAATCTGATTGGTGGACAGATTGAGTAGATCACATGAAAAACAAATACGATCGGAAGTGTTGCCTGTGAGACTTTAAATAGAGAAAAGTGAACCCTCTGTTCCTTTTCTTCTACTTAATTTTAGAGTGAGTATGCCATGCCGGAGCAAAGTGAACTACTGCCACCCTCTGCTCAAGGACCACGGCGCAGTGACATTTCTAGTACACACTACTAGTTTGTTTTTTCTATTTTTTTTAGATATCTTTCACACAGCATACATTGTTTTAATCTAGACGTAGCCATTTGGGTTCGTTAAATTTATCACACTTTCTGTGATACATGTTATTAGAACCCATATAAGGCCGAAAATATGTTATCTTTGTAAAAGACTGGATCAAAATAATCTTTTTCTTTACAATAGGCATCTTGATAAATCTAATCCGAGATTAACTCCAAAACCTAAGGATTAATAGTCTATACAAAATATTCTTTATTAAATTCAATGCATTTTAATTGTTTATAATAATTAGAGTAAAATTATGCATTTAGTTCAAGAGAGGCTTACAATAGGCAAACAATACCTGCACCAGTTTAATTAATTTCCCTTTAAAAATGAGAAAGTTTACAGAGATTACATCTACATCATTGAGGCTGGACTGAAAAACACTACATTAAGAGTGATCTTTTTAAAATAGTGCCATCATTTGTTTCATGTTGTTCCTCCCCAAATCACATCCTCATTACTATTTGCTCTGTGTGACACAGTCAGGTTGCTCTAAATGATGATGTATTGAAAGTTCACTTTGGAACGGATCAGGCCGAATCGCTAATAAGGAAGGCAATGAGGCTCTGTCCGTAAAAACAACTGTAAATCTGTGTTTCTGTTTAGCCAGTAAGACACCTACCGGAAAAGTTGTTTAAGCTGGTGAAAAATTTGGACTTGATAGCTGGAAGTGATTTTAGGGAGGATGGACAAAATGATGGAATGCTGCAAGGTTTTTTTATTTTCTGAAAGATAAAGGTTTAAATGTTTTATTTTTCAGTCGTTGTTGTTTATTTGTGTTTTTTTTTGGAATTTAAAAAAATTAAATCTATCATCAACTTGCAGAATGTAACCTGAAGTAGGCCTACTACATATATACACATATATACTGTACATTCTAGATATTTTATTATATTATTATACTAGTCTATATTATATAACATTTAATCATATTACACTATATTGTTCATATTGCACTATATTAAATTATATTATACTACATTATATTATATAACTGCACCCTGCAGTACTGTGGTACAACACTGCCTCTCTTCTCTGCTGTTTACATTACTTGATGCTATTTATCATACCAAGTCACTTTAATCACTTGTCACTTTATCTTGTCATTCTCTGCAAATACTGTCTCAATTCTCAATTCCCCCAGTTAACTTCATCATTCATTTTGTACTGTATATACCCCCTGTTTTTATTTTTATTTTATTTTTATTTTTATTTTATTTTATTTTATTTTATTTTATTTTATTTTATTTTATTTTATTTTATTTTTATTTTATTATCTATTCTGTTTAATGTGTATTTGAGCTTTCTTGTCTGTGCAGCTGTAACGCCCGAATTTCAATAAAGTACTATCCTATCCTACATGAAGCCCTGAAGTTACACACTCCGGTACAGTAGGTGGCGGTATGCACCATGTTTCCGCCATGATTAAACCAGAGAAGAAGAAGAATCCCCCCCGTCTGTTTGGGGATGGCCAGTTGTAGTTCTGAAAACTGTTAGCTAACGGTGTTATTCACGGGAGCTGGAGTCGCTTTGGTAGAATCATATTCTCAAGTCGGCTCCGCTGACAAATCACACCTGCAGATGGTTCACATTCAACTCTGGCAGTGAGTTTTGTCAAAGGGAGCAACACTGGTTCTGATTCCTCCAACACAGCTAGCATTAGCTGGCGGATCCCACTTCGTAGCTAGGTGAGTTAGTTGCTAAGCAGTGATGGAGTGGCTGGGCAACGTAGCTTCAAATCAACCTCACGAAGAGTCAAGCTGTGACGAGGCTTCAAGGGACCTCAGTGGTGTTTATCCTCAGCAGCAGGTAATTATCTCATGTGATCCTTTTGGGCCCTTCTTGGCACCAGAGAGGAAACTGAAAGGTATTAAAAAAAAAAAACATTGCTATCCAGCTAAGCCTGTTCGGGGGGTCATTTAAGTTATTAGATAGCTTGAAAGTTAGAGAAAACTGTAGACTTTGCTTATTTCTTTTCCAGTTATATTGTTTTTCCCCTCCATATTCTTGTCTTCTTGTTCAACTATATCAATTAGCTTTTAGGGGCTATCAATAACATTGAGCCAATAACTGTCCTGGTGAGTAATACTAGTGTCCAACCTGCGATTAAGACCGAAAGTTAATCTGATGGAGAACCTAAAGTTGCACAGTCACGCCAACTTGAATGTGGTGTTAGATGGTAAACGGTGTCACGCAGTTTCCAATCAGGATTTGTGCTAATAGAGGGAGATCAGCCGTACATGGGATGGTGAGATCAGAGGCCACAACAACCCTCTCTCTCTCTCTCTCTCTCTCTCTCTCTCCCCCCCCCCCCCTCAGGTCCTTTCTGTTTTCAGATACTGACAGCTGTGTGTGTGGTGTCTGAACAGGATTGTTTTAGGCAAGCCGAATGAAGCATTGATTTATTTTTAGCCCCCCCTTTTGCCCCACCCAGGACCAAATACAGCATGGTGGTGGTCATGACAGCTGAACAATGTGAAAGGCCTTACATTAAGGTTGTGATTCAGCCTGAGCAGGCTGTTTGGAGGGGTTTAGCTGAGCAGCTAAGGGGGAGCATATGAGTTTGTGCAAAGAAGAATATATTCAATGCTTAGGGAGGGTAAATGTATGACAAGCCAAAGCCCTGTTTAAACGAGAGCATCTGACATGTTGTCCAGTCTGAGCTTGATGTTGGCAAACTGTTTTTATTTTATTTTTAAAACACATTCAAAGGCACTTTCCTCTGTTGTCTTTCCAATGCTTGAAGCCTTTGCTCTTTTTGCATTCACTGTTTATCAGGCAAGTCATAACTACATCCATCAGTCCTGATATAAGCAGCTACATTCAGTGTAGTTGGTAGACAGAAGCTGTTTTAGTAGTTGCATAATTTGTGAAGAATAATATAGATCTTGTTGAGTGTCTATGGAATGAGTGTGCATGTTACGAGTGTCTACAGTTAATTTGATTATCGGTCTGGGATGAGGGAGGGCGTTAAGGCAAGCATGGGGGGGGGGGGGGAGTGAGGTAGAGGACAGATGGAGGAGGAGGTTGATGGGTGGGGCGACGGAGATGGTGTTGGTTGGGGTTAGAAGTACATGAGGGAACCAGAGGAATTGAGACTTTGTCTGTGTGTGTGTGTGTGTGTGTGTGTGTGTGTGGGGGGGGGGGGGGTGCTGCTGTCTTTTTGTTGGCAAACACAGACTGTTTTTACCATCTCAAGTTGTTAGAAATGTTGGTGAGAAATTCTGAAGATCAGCCATCAGACTGCCTGTCAGGAATCAATGGAGGCAGGTCTGATGCCTAAGGAATGGCCAAACTATAGCTCAGGGTGATGTTTAAGATCTGACTCTGCTTCAAAGAGGAAAGGGACACGTAAGCTGTCCTTAATGCACAGCGTGGTTTGTGTGTGGTTATTTTCCCACACCTCGTTATGAATCATATTTAACTCGTTGACAGTAACCCTCTATTTCTCTGTGATCTCTTTTCTTGCAATAACCCCACAGCAGTCGCCATCGTTGCTCCGCTGTGATTGTGCCATGGCGTCTCTGTGCCAGAGCCAGCAGCGCTGCGTGAAGGCCTCCATCGTCTCCAGCTGGAGACTGGCTGAAGCTCAGGATCAGCTGTGTTCTCTCGGCGTCCACAGCTCCGAGTCCCTGGAGCAGGAACGTGCTCGCACTCGGGTGTGCGCCACAGAACTCACGCACACTGTGGAGGAGTGGCGCCGCAAGGAGAGCATGCTGGGAGGTCCAGAACCCAGCCGGAGTCCCGTGCTTGGAGCTGTGAGCAGTTGGGATGTTTTTAATAAGGTTAGTCGAACAGTGAAGATGTGTTCTGTTGAAAGGAGGGACAACCAAGGCAGAAGAACAGTTGCAGTCTGTTCCTTTTGTTTGACTTGTTGTTTTATTATTCTCCATCTTTCAGAGTATCATCAATGTCCCAAACCAGCCAGTAGAAATGGATCAAGACAAGTGCAAGACGTTTCTCCAGAAGTATGAGCAAGAGCTCAGGCACTTCGGTGAGTGAGATGCCGAATCTGAAGTTTGTAATAAAAATGGATTCTCACTCAGAGTCATGTTTTAAATGTCTATTGAGATTTAAGAAACGTATTGTATTATGTAGCTCTTAAGTTTGTTGCTTGGAGCTTTTTTGCAATTTCCCCCCCTTAGTGTTCAGTGCAAGGCAAAATACACACCCTACACATTTCTGTCTAACTGTCATGTTCTCTGTGTTGTTCTCCGATGTGTGGACGCGTACTCGACTGTGTGTCCCGTTACATATGTTTTATTCTTATTTTTGAGCCCGCCTTTCTTGTAAACTCAGCATGCTTCGTAATTATGTAAGGCCGTGCATGTGTTGTGTTACGTCATGTACAAGAGGTAACCGCTGCTCAGGTGCCCGACACGAGCCCTCCTCGCCCTATTTTGTGTCGAAACGAATATCTTCTGCGTTCAGTGGACATGGTAAAACTTTCCCCACACTGCAGCAGGAAAAGATTTAAGATGCAAAACATACCCATGAGGTCTCCTGTTGATGTCTGCAGAAAATATATACCGATGATGCTTTTAATGTTCTGTTCTGTCAGGAATGTTGCGGCGATGGGACGACAGTCAGCGGTTCCTCGCTGAAATGCCGCAGCTCATCTGCGAGGAAACGGCAAACTACCTAGTCCTGTGGTGCATGAGACTTCAGCAAGAAGGGGTAATGTACTGAAATGATGAGACTGCTGTTCTTTCATCTTTGAACCGCCAACAACTCATCAACGTTGAGCGGTCTACTGCAAACTGGTTTATAGTGGTACCTCCACAATAACAACATCATCAACAACAAAACCAGGAAGGGAATAACTCCTCTAACTAATGCGGCCTGTGTAGTCTCAGCTGGTTTTATGCCTCATGTACTGTCTGAACTCCAGGAGCACTTTGAGTTGAAGTTGGTGGCACATAACGATGAATCCGGATGAACCAGTTTGAGATTTGACCGTTGTGCTGTCAGAGCTAACCTCTTTGTAGACATCTGACATTTTATAGAAGATGCTTATCAGATGTTGCTGAGATTCCATTTGGACACAATTAACATCCATAGCAGCATCAAATACTAAGTAGCTGCAAACACACAAAGCAAATATTTAGTTAGAGGTTAATCAGCACGTGTCATTTGAACAATGTTAAAAAGTTTAGCATTGGAAAAAAAAAGATTTTTAACATCTATTTGGACAACTTCAAAGTTAATCAGGCTTCTCGCACAAACAGACACTGAACATGAAGATTTTTGTTTTTCAGAAAGAAGCGCTGATGGAGCAGGTTGCACACCAAGCTGTAGTCATGCAATTCATCCTAGAGATGGCTTCAAACTCTCAGCAGGATCCTCGAGGCTGCTTCAGACAGTTCTTCCACAAAGCCAAAGTGAGACACACACACAACCCCTAAATGACATTGTTTTTATTTTTAACATATTTCACTTACCTATGGACCACTCTTACAGTGCATGCTATAACAAATGTGCCAAAGTGTCTTTAGATATGTTTTTTGTTGCTTTTTTTTCTTTTCTTTTTTTTGGGATAGCATAAGGCGAACTGTTTCCTTACACTGTTGCCTTTGTCATTGTGTAGGACGGACAAGACGTCTACTTAGAAGTCTTCCAGACGGAGCTTGAGGCCTTCAAACACAGAGTGAGAGAATATGCACTCAAGTGCAGAGATGACACACACAACAACATAGAAGAACACAACACTGGCACAAACTGCAGACTGGACCCCAAAGAAGCCCTGGACTCTTTACCTCCAGTAAGTGCTCTTTCTCTCCTTTTGTTTTTTTTCCACAAGGATATTGAGATTCTTCTGTTATTGCAGTTTACCCACATAGCTGTAGGGGGCATCATTGAGCCAGTGAATATCAGTTCTCTAATATGTAGAACTCTTAAAGCTCATCAATACTTGAATCCTGGATTTGGAGGCAAACGCAGTCATGGTGAGATTATTTACTCGGAAAAGGGAAAATGTGTCTGATTGATCAGGACATCCTCTTTGCCACATTACTCACTGGAAATGTCATTCTGAAAACCTTAACTTCTGTCACAGTATTGGGATGGGCTTTTTAGGGCAGCTGCAGAGAGACAGGATATGTTGAGATGTGCAGGATGACACGCGGCAAATGGCTGAGTTTGGACTCGTACCATCTGCAGCTGCAACGAAGACTATATCTTCTGTGTGTGACATACACCCCCCCCCCCCCAAAAGACAGATCATTTTATATCTCAGATATCCCATTTCCACTAAAGTGTAATATTAAAACACTGCTACAGATAATAATCTCTACATGTTTTATTTGTAGAGCCTGACGTATATCTCTTTCAGCTCTGTAGCATGTCCTGGACATGCAAAAAGGGGTGAATAACTTTACTATAGCAAACGGAAGCTCACCACACATTAGTTAACTAATTATTGAACTAAATGAGAGCTCACTCCCTGCCAACCTGCTAGTCTACTCTTTCCTAGTGGAAGGAGCTATGTAACATTACTCCTCTAACACCCTTTGGAGGACAGATGATTATAATCACAGCCCCAGGATTAGCTGCCTAACATTCATTTCTAGAATAATTAGATTCAAGGATAAGCCCTGGTATAGGACTCTAGATTACCCCCAGAGAGGGAATAACTGTGAACTCCCCTCGCTAGGATGTTAGGTGTGTATGAAGTGTGTAATATAAATCAGTAAAAAAAAGTGTGCCGTGGTGTGACTGCTCAAAACTTACCTTCCGAGGTACACGGGGTCCTTAAGGGGAACTTCCAGTCTTTGTGGTGTGAATGATTTCAGTCAGAAAATGATTTCAAAAAGCTTCACAAAATGTATTAAAAAATTTCAAATGATATTCCAAATGCAAATACAAAAGAGTAAAAGAAAAATATAAAAAATGGAAAAGAAAATGAAAACTCAAAGACCAAAGTCTAAACCTGTGAGTGTAGACACTTGAGGTTTTAAGACCGTGAACCGAGCAGATACACAGAAGAGCTGATACTCAGAAACGCTATACGCCTACGAGCTTTTATGTGGTCTTGCTTCAATGTATGGCACACTGATCTTGACCTCACAGGAGCGTAGGCACTACGAGTGTGTGTAAGTTTAACAGGAAATGTTGAAAGCAGAAAAAGGTTATGACTTTATGACCTATGTATTAAATGATGAAAGAATTAAATGATAATAAAAGAAAAACAAATTCAACAATTGCTTAACTCTTTCTGATCTTTCAACAGCTCATATGAACCTGTCACAGACGTTTCTGGATGGAACTAGGTTATTATTGTCGTTAATAAAAACTAATGGAAAAAAATATATATTTTATTTTAACTGAAACTAAAACAAGGCTTTAAATAAAAATGACAACATACTAAAACTGTATTATGTGTTTATAAAACTAAATAATATTAACTATAATTATAGCGAAAATGTCCTTTCTGTAGTTTTAGTCTTTGACACGAGCACGCTCAGTGACACGTGATGTACGGTTTGTTTCTGTAATAGATGAGTTTATGCAGGGGGGGGGGGCTTCATAAAGTTTGTGTGCACTAAACAGTACGATGTTTCCTTTTTCTGGACCTCTTGGGTCTCGACCCTGACAAGTCTCACTTAGGACTTTTACAAAAAAAACTACAAAGAATAAACACTGAGGATTTTTACAACATAATAACTTAATAAAGAGTCCAAAAAAACCCTCAGAAAAACAAAACTATTTTAACCTTGTTATTGACCTGTATGTTTTCTGTAGTACAAAAGTATGTAAGTCTGAATGCAAAACATCACACTGGATGATTAAGATGTTGTCTCATCTCAAAGTTTGAACGGCAGGGCCTGCTTCATAGTTTACAGTACAACATACAATCAAGTCTACATATTCTTTAATTATTTGTGTAAGAAAACAGTCTTTGCAGAACCTTTGGATCAACATGTCAGCGCACAGTCATGGAGAGGCTCTAATTCCATTTCAGCTCGATGAAACCCTCCACAGCGGTAATCTGTGAGGTTTCTAAAACTAGCATATAACTGTGTAAATGTAGAGACTGATACCATAGGCTGTGGTGTAGGTCATATAAGTGGTATTAGGGCCAAATGAGCGACAGATGTACGCAGAGACATTTAATGCTACGTACTTACAATACTAGTACTTATAATAAATCCATAGTTGTGTATTTTTGCATCTACTTAACAAAGTCCAA